TGCCGTTAATGCATAACGATTAACCCGAAATCGAACGAGTGATAAAAATAGTTCTCTCTGAATAGTAGGCCCCACCATAAGTAAATCATTTAATGACCCAGTCGTGGTCTTGCTCGACGTGTCAAAAACGAAATAATGAGGTCCTTGCCTGTCGGAGACATATGGCCGAGCTCGATATATTCTTTCATGAAATTGAGATACATGCCTCTCAGCTCACTCTAACGATAAGAAACGACGTTTCGCCACCTCGAAACCGACCCCCAACGAAACTGGGTCCTTCTTAAAAGGCAATGCTATTTGAAATCTTCCGGTCGGTAAACTGCAGACATTGGCTTTGAAAAACTCTTCGCATGCCAGCTGCTCTGGCGACGTCGTTTGAGCATGTTTGGACAAAGACAAAGCCTCTTCTTCCGGTGAGTAGGTTGCGACGCAGCAAGCGGCTTCTCCAGTCAGAAGCTTGTTACACCGACCTGATGCTACCCATCCTAAAAGGGTCTTTTGCAATAATGGTGCCCCTTCACCCAGTTTTATTTGGCCTGTGCACAACAGATCGAAGAACGAGTCTGCTCCAATCATCATATCTACCTTTTGAGGTAGCTGGATCTGCCAAATCCACATTCGCAGGAATTTTCCACTGCTTAATTGGCCGACTTCTATCAGGCTGCTGATTGGTAATACTGCTAAGAACCCAGAAATCGGCTACAAAACTATGGGTTCTTAACCTGGAGTATATTGTCGACGATACTTCACTTCTCGACACCGAGCTACAGATGTCACTGTCAAGCAACGGTTGACCCTTTCCAACCTCAGCGATTGCGCAAGGCTTTCTGTCATGAAATTGACCTGTGAACCCGAATCCAACAACACTCTTGCTAAGTGAACTTGGCCAATCCTGTCCCGAACTTATCGAACTCCGATGGTTGGCGTCGATCAACTTTTCGGCCCTCGCGCAAGAAAATGACGATCTGCGGTTTTCTTGCTGGTCGACGGCATGTCAAATCAATCACTCGTTTCTTCCAGCGCCGCCCTATCCGAATTATCAGGGTCTAGTACATCAAACTCGGACCATTGCTTTGTATATATAAGAGTTCAATATTTCCAAACGACATTGGATTTGTAATGGGTCCAGCGAAATTGAACCCTCCTCAAATGCTATCCTCATTCGATTTATATCTTCTCCAACCTCACGTACAATTTTGTGAGCTTCATGCTTTCACACATTCCGCTCCCAGTTCCCTTCTCTTCCCTACGATCTTTAGACATGTTGATTAACTTAATAGAAAAGAAAAAAAAGAGATCTTACGAACCTACTAAGAGAAAGCGACAATAACCTGATGAAATGCACTGCGTTCAAGGAGAACAATGTTCAACAGTACGCCTAAACTTGGTTAAGTCCCCACGTATAAACGTATTAGGTTCGACAACGAACGAAAGAGTTCGAACAGACAAAAAGACGCAACACGTTCGATCCGCTACGAAACGGAAGTCTGGAGTTGCAATGCGAGGAACGCTAAACTAAGCGTACGCAACCAACGCCAAGCTTAGCTCGACACACTAAGCTCGAACCACGTTCGATCCAATATGAGCAAACGGAACTCTAATGCGCGAAACGCGCTCAATTTCTATGTTATAAGAGCTTTGGCTCGAAACACCAATCTCGAACCACGTTCGATCTGATATGATGCAAACGTAATTCTATTGCATAAAACGCACACAAATCCGTAAATTAGAACAATGTTCGACCCGAAAACGAAGTGGCGAACGATGTTTCAATTCATCCACACACAGCTCTCGTCACGATTGGTTCTTATCCCAAGTTACTTCCTCGGGCGCCATGTAGATTTTTCGAAACGAGATGTGGTTATTACGGATGCCTTTGCTTAGGCTTGTGACGCGGGGATTAGCGGGACGGACCAGAGCTGTGGGCGGCGATAAAAGTCGATCAAAGAAATAAACCTTTCGAAGTTCAATTTACGACTGCTTTACTCCCACGCATAGCTTTGCCAGCTATGCTGCGGGCGTGTAAACCTGTTGCTAAAATTAGGATACAGTGGTGGTACTTCTTAGAATACAATTACTTCATAATTTCAACTATCTATTACTATACAATTCATGATTTTAAGCTACTATAGTGTAGCGACAAACTAGTTGCGCTAACGGGTGGATCTGAAATCGGGTCCCTATTTTCATCACAATCTCCATTGTTATTGTTATTTACATCATAACCAAAATCTACAGAGAGCGTTCGCGGCATATGTTGTGCAGCGCGCAGCACACATTTATAATTCTTGTGACTTTAAGAGGGTGGTATAAAAGGCAGTTTTGAAGTCACCTAAACCGATTCTTGAGCACACCAATTGTCCGTTCCACAACATTCCGAGTATATGCATGCGCTCTATACGTTCTTCTTGTATTTTCTTCCATCTAAGAAGATCCTTTGATATTAATCCGCCGATTGCATTTTTCTATAAAATTCAATTTGACGTTTGCCAGGCCAGTCACAGACAACCGCAAAAAAAAAACGTTATTAGGGTTGTCATTCAACATTTTGTTCTTCAGAAATTGCTCAATTATTATGAGCGAAGAGTGGCCAAATGCAAAATTTGTTTTGGGTAACTTTATACAAAACAATCCTTCTCAGATGAAAAATAATAAAATAAACAAAAACCAGCATTGCACAAAATTATTTTTGAAAGACTACAACTCTGAGCTACAATTCTCAATATTGCGAGTGAACTCCGAAAAAAGTGTTCGAAAAATGAAATCCTGTGGCACCTACGGATTTTTCGGTTGATTGGACAAATCTCTCGACTCAAAATCTTTAGAGATTTCTGTGTTTTGTGAAAGTGAAAACCGGAGCCTTTCTGACTATATAATTCGTTAACGAAAATACACACACACATGGAAGAAAATAAGCTCAATCCGGCTAGAAAAGTGCAGTAATGAAGAAAAATTTAATCTTATTATGGCAGTCGAATGAAATCTGATTATATGGATATTATAATTTATTATTTTTATACCCGGTACTAACTTTATTAATTTATAAGGAGATAAGAAACCTTATATAGTTGCAGTTGCCAGCTCATACAAAGTTGCTGTCTAGTTCGGCTCGCGTCACGTCATGACCCGAAAACGACGTCACCAGAGCCGAAGACCTTGCGACATTTTCGTTGTATGAACTGCCACATCTATATACTGTCTGGTAGGCTACGGTTTTCACATTTGAAAAAAATATCCGATATACTTTTGAAAACGGAAAGCCCCAAAAACTCAAATTATTTCCGTTTTCAAAAGGAAAACAGTTTCCTTGCCGAAATGAAGCGTAAACGGCTTTTTATAAAAAAGAGTTTAGTACAAAAAACCAACCGTCCCGATGAGCGCCTAGATCTCAGAGACTATAAAACCTAGAGTAACTATATTTTGTTTCCAGACTCATGTGATATCACACTACTACAAGGGTTATTTAAAAATCTTGCCCCGCCCCCACACTGGACGAAAATCTGTGGCATCCACGATTTTAAAGATACAAGAAAATTAATGACCATATCTAATAGATTGCCGAATCTGAATCAAATCATTGTTATAACCAGAATGAAGAAATTAATTTTCAGTTGCTTCCTCACCTCCTCCAGCATGAGACCCCGCTAATCATTCTCTTTCTGGCTCGCACACACTCTGCCCTGTGCAATGTTCGACTTTTGCGGAGAAGATGTAGAATCTACATTGTATATGTAGAATCTAAATTTTAGATGGGTAATCGACATTGAAGATGTAGATAACAAATGTAGCAAAAAAATTTAAAATATTAAAAAAAAACCAAATAAATCATAAGCTCATTTACTGACTATAAAACTGACTGGGTATAAAAGTAGAGTCGCGCCCGCAGAAGCGACTCACACGTTCCTCCTCGTTATAAATAATTTTAATTTACCAATCAAAAAAATGGATTTAAAACGAGAAGGAACGTGCGAGTCGCTTCTGGGGACGCGACTCTACTTATACCCGTACTCAGTCAGTATATATATTTTTCATTTTGATTTAATTTTTTCGAATTTTAGATTTAAAAAAAGGTTTCCATTTTAAATTTTTTTGCTACATCTATTATCTACATATACATCTACAATGTATATCATACATTTTAACATGTAGATTATAGATGTACCATTTATATTCTACATCTCCTCCGCTAGGGGTTGCTCGCGCACTGAACGCGGCAGAGTGTGCGAGCGAGAAGGAAAATGAGTTGCGTTGTCGTTGGCAGGAGGGGGCAGTGGAAGCAACTGAAAATTAATTTCGTCATTCTGGCTATATTTATAATCGGATCTGATTCAGATATAGCAGTCTGGTAGATATGGTCATTTTCTACTGCGTATCTTTAAAATTGTGCCAGCCACAGATTTTCGTCCTTTGTGGGGAGGAAGGGGGCGGGGCGAAATTTTGAAATACACTTGTAGCAGTGTGATATCACATGAGTCTGGAAACAAAATTTGGTTTCTCTAGCTTTTATAGTCTCTAAGATCCAGTCGTCAAACAAGACGGACGGACGAACACACGGACAGACAGACATGGCTCTATCGTCTCGGCTATTGATGCTGATCAAGAATATATATACTTTATGGGGTCGGAAACGTTTCCTTCTCTGCGTTACACACATCCACTTTTACCACAAATCTAATATACCCCCTAACTCTTTTTGAGTACGGGTATAAAAATTGGTCTGCGCCTAACAGTACAGGAGGAAATAAACCACACTTTTGAGAATATCCGAGCACCTTGAAATTAAAAGTATGATTTTTAGCTGAAAACGTAAAATGCAAAAGTAAGTGAAAGCCGGAGCCTGCCTGATCAACTCCACATTGTGCAAGTGTAAGCACCACTTCTGGGTTGTTGAGTTAACACATATATCGATAGGTAACCCATGCTAGTGTAAATAGCCTATTAGTTTACTGAATAGAGTGACCTTGTTCACAAAAGATACCGTTTTTTGATAACACAAACAACCCATACCCATTTCAAAAGCTTTTATAAGAAGCACTTAGTAAATAGTAGCTAATACTGTAAAAACATACTTAAATTAAAAAAAAAAACAAAAGATACGCATATGCAAAGATACACAAATAGTATTTAAAATGCCAATAGGAAGTATTATAAAAAAAGCATCAAGCTTTATACTCGGTGAAGAAATAATTAATAAAAAAATCGATATTTCTTACGAAGACAACGAAATTCTCTTCTGCAAGAACAATGTATGCATTCATCCGCCTACAATCGCTCGTCATGAATTCGATATATTGCACAACCCAGGTTATTTAACATGCACTACAAAAACATTTGTTGATCAGTATAACTGTGCTAAAAGGCCTACTCTTCTTCTCACATGGATCCCAAACTCTTCCCTATGTAAATATACGACTTCGTCTAAGGGAGATTCCAGGGACAATTTCAGTCCTATGAGAAAAAAGACAGATTTAAGCAATAAACACTGTTTTTTAGCGGGGTCTCAGACGACTAATGAAAGCGACGTCCGAGAGGAAGATGAGGACGCGTCGGAAATGCAAGAATTAAAAAATGAACTACAGCCTTTGCTCGGCGGACAAACTGCATCAATAGATGATTTAACAGCGCTCCTGAAAAATAACCCAATAACTTCAGTGAATATAACAATTTCGAATCCCCAGATCGAAAACACCAATATTTCACAATCATTCAACTGTATAACAATAAGGACAGACGGGGATAACAGCGGTGACTGCTTCAGCGGAAACAGTGGCCATTTAAACTCTGTTGGCCCGGCATCTGAGGACAACAACCCAAAATGGATGACCCCAGAGCTACTTGCCTTTAAGCACAACTTAGAGTTCCCAGAAAGTGAAAACACGAAGACAGCCGTTCGCCGAAACACCGCACTACAGTGTCGACGTTTTTCCGTAGATTTAAGTCAAATGCGATCACTCCGTCTCTTTTTCAATGACAACAACTGCACATCGGGTCAGCTGGTAATTGCATCCCGAGAATCTCAGTACAAGATACTTCATTTCCATTATGGTGGTTTGGATCACTTGGCCCAGGTACTTCATCAGTGGCATTGTTTTTTGCACAACATCACTTTGGCCACTTGTCCAGAAAAATTCGATCTGCCATACAGGCATTTTATGGTCTGTCGTCCTGAAGTCAAGAAATCAGAAATGCATCCCGATGAGGGCGACGTAAAGAAAATAACTACGAACTTTTTCTACGGAACATTGTTAAACGAAAAAGGACAGATCGAAGATGATTTGTTGCTTCGGAAATGTGTATTTTTTGGCGGCCTTGAAAAGAGCTTACGAAAAACGGTATGGCCATTTTTATTAAAGTGCTATTCCTGTTCGTCGACATTTGAAGATCGAGCAGTCCTCATGGACATAAAGCGACAGGAGTACGACGAAATAACACGAAAGCGTCTATACTCAATGTCTCCAGAGCAACAAGTACACTTTTGGAAAACCGTACAGTGCGTTGTTGAAAAAGATGTTGTACGTACAGATCGCACCAATCCTTTTTTCTGTGGGGACGATAACCCCAACACCGAGGTTATGAAAAACATTCTGCTCAACTTCGCTATTTATAATACTGGGCTGTCCTATTCTCAGGTTTGTAGTTAAAGTTAATGACATGCAAGTCTATATACACATACAAATATTTACTATTAAAATCGTTTTCAGGGTATGAGTGATTTACTAGCGCCTGTATTATGCGAGGTGCAAAATGAGTCTGAAACATTCTGGTGCTTCGTTGGATTAATGCAACGTGCATTTTTTGTATGCACTCCCACAGACAGTGATGTCGACCATAATCTTAGTTATCTGCGAGAGCTAATACGGCTTATGCTGCCACGTTTCTATGAACATTTGGAACACCAGAACGATTCTATGGAGCTCCTATTTTGTCACCGATGGCTTTTGCTTTGTTTCAAGCGAGAATTTACCGAAGCTGTCGTAATACGCATGTGGGAGGCCTGTTGGTCAAACTATTTGACTGACTACTTTCATCTATTTCTTTGCTTGGCCATAATAGCTGTCTATGCCGAGGACGTGATAGCTCAAGGATTACGTGCGGACGAAATGCTACTGCACTTCAGTTCCCTGGCCATGTATATGGATGGACAACTGATTCTTCGGAAGGCTCGTGGTCTTCTACACCAATACCGTCAAATACCCAAAGTTCCGTGTACCTTAAGCGGCCTATGTAAGCGATGTGGACCTGGTATGTGGGACTCTGAGCATCGACCTGCACTTGAGTGTGTCGGGCATAGTGATGACGAAAAATGTTCTCTTTCCATTGACTAGCTGATTTCCGATTCCATCAATTCAAAAAAAATTTGTATGTCGATGCATTTTTCATTACCAAAAGCAGTAATGGCCGTATCCCCCTACAGTTCAAGACTAATCTACCGTGGAAAATAGACAACGATAAATTTGTGAAACACACGCACAGCTGATTCTCATTAACCAACATATTCTTTTAGAGTAAGAATTTATTTTTTCTCTTATGCTGCGCTCCCTCCAGATCGACTATAAATCTAAACTAAAGCGAATATTTCTCTCGCTTACCCTGCACGCTTTTTCGCATAAGGTTTTTATATCAGTGCACTCTGCCTTCACTTGAAGGAATACTGCCATTATCATATTTTTTGCTTTTTACCCAGATTGGCACTAATATTAAATACATTTGTTTGTAATCCTCATTTTTTTAAGCTTAGATAAAATCTGTTTTTCTTAAAAAGTTCTATCCATGGCTAATTTATGTTTTTAAATCAAAGGAAGAATCTCTATATGTATTATTAAAGTATTAATACAAACGATCGACCAAAAACAAAAAGTTGTAAGAAAAACCTTTGCTTTTGAAAAGAATCCAACGATGCATATTCATATGCTTTACTACCTGCATTCAAGTAACTCACAACACTTCGGCCCAAGGAAAATACTGTTTGGTGTAGTTCCCATTCAGAAAGTCGAAAAGAAAGTCGGTTTTCACATTCCCTTTGCTTTTAACGTTTCAGCAAAAAGTCATACATTTCATTTCAAGGCGATGTTATACCCACGCTGTTATACCCCCGCTGTTATACCAGCGGGGTATACATCACATTTTTTTGAGAAAGTGAAACCCGGAGCTTGCCTGAATAACCTTTTCTCCTGAAACTGCTTAACTAACTTTACATTTGTGCTTATGTCGTCTTTTACAAAGCTTAGTAAGACCATTTTTACCCTCTTGACGCCTCAAACATGGCTAGTGTGTGCATTATCCTCCCGTGGCGAGGAACTGTAGTAACTGTAGTAAATACTTATGCCATACTCCTACTGGGACTTGTTTTGTTTCATTCCTATTGAAGATACATACTATATACCACAGTGCCATGATCTACCTTGAATTGAAGGAAATCTACATATGTGTCAAGTCATGCTTTTTTTAATGATCGAACTTTAACGGTATACATAGGTGTAAACTGTAGTGCGTCTAAGGGCCGGTTTCTTGACTTCGGGTTGACATTAATCGGAAGAAAATTGGTTTTCCCAAGAGCTCAAGCAAAGGTAAACTTGTTCAGCTTTACAAAAACATTATAATTATATTTATATTCATATAATATTACAGTCTACCAATTAATGTATGTATATTGCAATGAATACAAAATGTATTGGAACTTGGTCCAAACACCTTGCCTAAATGCTTGTTTTAAAAATTAGTTTTAATTGCGTGTCTTAAAAATTTGTTTTGTTAAAATTGTTATAAAATATGGACGTATATATAAAGATATCGGCAGAGAAAATAAAGTGCTAAAGGCGTACAAATAGGTCTCTCGTATGATGTTTACTTAATTGCAAGAGGAGCATCTTTTATTTTTTTATCCCAGGCTACTCTAAGAATACTTTTGGAAAGTGTTGTAGGAAAATATGGTCAGATCTGTGATCAGTACATCAGAATTGTTCGTCAAGACAAGTCTTATCACACAGTTTTCTTTAAAAATTAAGTTCGATTGAAAAACATTCCATGGGAAAAATGGAAAATAAAAGAATTCGTAGATGCTTGGCGGAAGAGGGTTTCACTCCATTTGCGTCAAATCACGGAAGGATATACGAACATATACAATTTTGACAAACGAGCAAGAATAACTTAAGGAAATGTATAAAAAAATTGGGAAGCGCCTTAATGAAAACACAGGACTTTAAAACGTCGTTTTGTACCTACTGTACATATTGTATGACAGACACAGTTTTATGTCGTTTGCACACGTTATAAAATGGTAGAATGATAAAATGGAGAATATGTGGGTAACAATAAAGTGGGTGGTCTAGAAGTAATTTTAATGCAAGTAACCTTTCTAAAGTTTTGTTTAAGAAGTAAATCAACAGACCACAGAACGTCCAAGTCAAACATAGAGGTATTTTGTATAGTAGTGGCGAACATAGTAATTAAAAAAAAACTTTGTTATTTTGTATCCCTTGTTTTCAAGGGATTCAAAAATTGGTCAAATATTTAACGCACAGAAGGAAGCATCACCGAAGGCATCAAATACGAGGATACATATTTACATGTTTTTGAGATATTTAGGATAGCCTGAGTCGATCTATCAATGTCCGTCTGATTGTACACTAAATGAAGCTTTTTCAACGAAATTTCCATTAATATGATTTGGGTAAAATTGGACCACTATATAATATGTATAACTTTCATAGCCTGTGTGAAACTGGGACGGCCAGTTACTGATTTTATTTAGCTTAAAATATATATTTCTTCCCATATGTAGGTGCATATACTTATTTATTTCTTACGCAGCAGTATTTATAGTATAAATACATTGTATACACAGTTCAATTTAATCTTTGTATTTTAAAGCTGATTTTTTTGACCTTACTTATGAGTATTGTATTTTTGTCCCCTGAAGCTAGACTTATTTGATTATTAATATAAACTTAACTATATCCAAATTTATGTCCGTATGACGAAATTCAGAGATCTAGGCAAAGGCCTACTCGAGTATTAGTTAAAAGGGAAACAATCTGATTTGTATCCAAAATAATACTAGCTTTATTTAATAAAATCGTAACTTTTTGATTATATTACAACTTAGCGTAAGCATTGTTATTGAGCATCGATAATTAACCAGTCTAAACTTTCACATTTGTGGCAATTGATCAATGGGTGTGGTAAACTTAAAATCTTCAGGAAAGAGCTTCGCAGCGTGAGGGTACATTAATTTGTACGATTGTCTTATTGTGACATCAGCAACGCCAGCTATATCACCGATTTCCTTCTGACTGCGCTTGTGCTCTGACGCCTGCGATGCCATATAAATTGCAGCTGCCGCCACAGATATTGGAGATCGGCCTGGAACAATGTCCATTTCGACAGCTTTTTTCGCAATGTGTGTAGCAGCGCGTTGTACCATATTCGGCAGATCTGTAATGAAATATGTATAGAAAATTATGTTAGATTAAAGCGATAAAATGTAAACGCTTTTGCAAATAGCTTAATTTTTAGCAGGAAATACTTACCTAGATTTGCACAAAATCGACACATAAAATCAGCAGTTGTTATCAAATCAACACTAGTTTCAAGAGCTTTAAGTGTTAGTTTAAAGCATCTTCCGATTTCTTTTTTACTAATCTTGCTAACGGCGCATATTTCTTTAAATGTACGTGGAACTCCTTCTTGTCGACAAGCAATATAAAGACATGCAGATGCCTTCGCATCGTTTGATCGACCTTTAAGATTTTTTCCATCGTGAACCTATACGAAATAAATCGTTAGATCGAATTTCATTAGCTTAAGTAAAACATACTTGTTTAAAAAGATTATTTGCACGATCCACTATAGTTTTCGGTAAGTTAATTCGATCGGCCATTGATGAAATTTCTTTGAAAGCTGATATAAGAGACCGGTCTGAACTGCTCATGGTGCGTCTGTTTTGATATTTTGGAGCACCAAATGCATCGAAAGATGCAGACCCCGTCCCCGGGCCAATTATTGTGGATAAATCTCCACCACTAAGAAGGGGATTCTCTGGACCGCCAACACGACTGGGATCCACGCCACTTTTCTCATTACTGAATGTTCGCCATTCCGATCCAACATCAATAACGCGGTCCCCAACAACCAGACCACATTCTGAACATATCATATCACCAGCACGATAATCTTCGATCAAAGGAGATTCTGGATGTGCATAACAGCACACTTTATTGTTATCAAGTCTAAAAAAATATAAAAACACCATAAATACAATTAATAGTGCCAAAAATATCCCCATATTACCTCGATGTTGAAGCCATTTATACAACCAACTTTACACTACTGATGCAAGTCAAGCAAGTTACAATAATATCGATGTTTTTGTAGGTGGGAGGAGAAACTTAATTTTTTTCGATTGTGAAAAATATGATTTTAATAGCCTATTTACACTAACATGAGTTACCTATCGATTGTTGAGCTAACTCAATAACTCAGAATTGGCGTCTACACTGGCACAAACTCGAGTTATTGATTTATGAGTTTTGACAAGAGCACGTTCGTGGTTTTAAAAACATTTTATATATCAACCAAATTATTAATATGGATAGAAAAGATTTGGGGATACATTTCATGAAAAGTTCTCAATGAATAACAAATTCATTTATATGGAGAGCCTAATACTCAGATCCAAAAACTGTTTGCCAGCATACAAATGTCATATATTTTTCGAGCGGCCAGTGTGTGACCAGAGGTGTGCACTGCATTCCAAACGGTTACACTCCTCAGACCGCTGCTTGATAAAATGAACTGCTTTGGCAGGGGCCGCTCTTCCCCAGGCATATCCTGGGCTCCCCAATATTTTATTGGCAAGGTTATGTGTCTGACTATCAGCAGCAGCAGATGTCGACGCATCCCGTGCCGACCACCGTGAAGACAAAATGTTTTGAAAACAATATTTGTTTTATATTTATGAAAATTAATAAAAATAATAAATTATAATATCCACATAATTGTTATTCATATAATACTGCATTAATTAGATTCTATTTGTCTTCATTATTAAAATATTTTATTTGGTTTTTTGTTCTCTTATTGCAATGTTTGCTTCGTGTTTGCTGGCGAAATATATCAAATTGATATAACTTCCTAGGTGGATCGAAACATACCAGCAATACAAGCAAATACATCGGATACTTTTCTAGTATATACCAACCTTTTTGTTTGTTGATCTGAGTACTGCCACTAACCATACAGTATATAGATGTGCCAGTTCATACATCGAAAGGGGCGCAAGCTGAGTGTTCTGTCCCGGCTCCCAGCGCTTCGGCTCTGTGAAGCTGAGACACTCGGGTCGGGAGCCAGGCCATTCGGGTCGGGAGCTGGGCCGTTCGGCATGTATGACTCATGTCGGGAAGCGAAAGCAAGCTGAGAATTGCAAATGTGTGTGTGTAAACCAGGGCTCGGCACCCATACAGTGAAGTGCGCTTGTGTGCGTAGCTAAAACACGAAGATGCCTACGCCGAAACCGGTTTCTTGCTTTACACTGCACGAATCTATTTGTGGTTGATGCTGCAATTATTTCGTGTTGAAACTTTCAAGGAAAACAAAAGTTTAAAGCAAAATAATAAAATAAAGCTAGGCTGTCATTATCTTCCGCTACAAATAATAGAAAATATTTGGCCTGCAATTCCAAAACTTTTTGGACATGATCAATCCCCCTTATTAAGTTATAATCAATATGGTTTAAATTGTAATGTCTTTCAATGACATATAAATTACAGCGGTACGCAACATAATCGCAAATTGTGCATTGCGCATCGCCATCCATATTTTGGACAAAGAAAAATTTGTTTTCCCAATTCCCATCGAACATTTTTTGTCTCAGTGTATATTTCAGTAGTTGCGTAGCGTGGTCTCACATTGATGACGGCTGATCAGCAACTGATGCCATTTTCGTTCTGTATCTGGTGTGAAAACGAGACAACAAGTGCCGAAGTCGCATTGCCGAAGCCATACGAAGCGCCGCTGCTTTTTTATACTGTCGGTGTACCGGCAGCGCAGCAGCAGCGCCTTGTCCCGCACCCATGGGATAGGGCCGTGCCGAGCCCTGGTGTAAACAGACACAATTTTGTATCAATTCTTATTTTCCGAAAACGTTTTGAGTTTGTTTTGAGTTTCGTTTACAGGTTACGTAAATGTGTGTGTGCCATGTATTCACACATACTATGCTTGTGTGTGGGCTCTACAAGTGTTGGCCGCTTGAATTGGTTTTTCGTTTTGTTTTGAGGGCTGATGTGATGTAGCGACCTATTCAGGGCCGGATCAACCCTCAACCGGGCCCTGGGCAACCATCAATCTGGGGCCCTCCTTTATTTTGTATTTTTCTCAGTGGCCATTATATTTTGTATTCATTATTTGGAGTTTTGTTTTTTCAACAAAATTTTTCTGTTATTTCTCGGAGGGCCCTAGGCAACTGCTAATCCGACCCTGGACCTATTCCCGTCGTAAGACTTAATATTTTCTTGGTGTATTCTGTCGCTCGACTCGACGCGGGTCGGGTCGAGGCATTGACGAAGCCGAAAGCATAGGCAAAGGCAAGCCGTAAGGAGAATGGAAGAAATACCCCGCGCGCCCGTCGCAACATCAGCTTTTCAAAACAAAACGAAAAAATATTTTATGAACCGCTTCGTCAATGCCTCAACAATGAATAACAAGTTTAATTGTTCAATTTTATTTGTAATGATTTTCATTCATGTATGTGAGAGCTCTTCCGTACACCACGAAAACCATTATTTTTTCCTTCCAGAAGTCTAGAAGTTCCTGTAAAGTCAAATAAGTCCACA